TTAGTAAAGTATATCACACTAAATTTTAGAATCACTTTAATTTTATAAATATTATATATTATCTTTAATTCTTAAAAATAAAAATAAAAAAATTAAACAAGAATTAAATATAAATTGTACTATTACAAGTTCTTATATGCTTTTTTTTTAGTATTTTAATATGTTTTGTAATTGTTTGTTATATTTTATATTTAATAACAATAATCATTAAAAAAAATGGAAAAAAACGAGGTCTTCTTCTCTGCCCCGTCTCAACCTGGTGCTGCCCTGCTACACCACCATCACCACCATCACAAGGCGCGGGGCATCTTCTCCATATCCACCACGACAGGCAACAGTGAAAATGGTAGCTATAAACACACAACAAAAAGAATGATTTCGACTGCGAATTGTACCATACACACGACATGACCAGATGTAATACAGTCGATCAAATTGGGGAAGAATGATTTCGATTGCAAATCCTTATAGTGCTCCTGTAACCATTATCAGCACACACACGCATAAACAACAAAAACAATCAATTTGGGGAAGAATGGTTTCGACTGCTAATCTTTATAATGTAACCAATTATCAACACACACACACATATACATATGTGAGAAAATATATATATATATATATATATATATATATATATATATATGCATATAAGCAGCGGCGGGGAATCTATGTTCCGGTGGCGGAGAGATCTCGGCGGAATCAAAATGTTTCTGTTCAATTTGTCCGGAAAACACTTGCCCCTCTCGAATCTACTTCGAACGAAACCCCCACCTTTAGAACTCGTAGGAAGATTTGGCCGGAAAAGCCTGCCCTATCAAACCTACCTTGGACCAGCCCGCACCCTTAGATCTCGTCGGAAGAACTTCCCCGCAGTCGTCGTTCTCGCCAGAAAATCGTGGTTGAAGGACGCAAGGGCTGAAGATCCTCCATTATCGACGAATGCCAGAGGGCTGGGGTTCTTCAAGAACCTTTCGGGGACAAAGAGAAATTGGCGATGGAGGATGAGATAGTCATGAAGGCGAAGAGGGAATAACCTCCGCTACGACGGTCTCACCGACGAGAAGAGTGGAGGAGGCGGTGGAAGAAGAAATTTGTGGAAGAACGAAGAAGACGATGTATTACTGTATTCGTTTTGTTTGTTTTAACAATTTTAAAAATTACAATTTAGTCCTATAAATTTAGATTATTTATAATTAAATCACTCTGGTTTTTTTCCTCTTATAAAGGGATATTTATGTCATTTCACACTGAAAATTGAATAAAGAATCGCACATTCAGCGAGTGAGAGACACGATTTGCCTCCAGGGGTTCGGATGCCTTGACTTTGTTAACATAGGGGGGAGTTAGTGAGTTTTTTTTCACAGGGGGGTATTTGACAATTAGAGATTACACAGGGGTGGTATTTGCAATAAGCTCTATCTTCAATACGCCCCCTCAAGTGCAGACGAATTACATTTGAACCCTTGCACTTGAAATATTTGAAATGGTGTGAGATTCGAATTCAAGACCTTTCATATGACTTAGCTCTGATACCATGTTGAAAACCATCTCAACCAAAAACTTTAAGCTAGCTGTTAATGAAACATATCATTTAATATTAATATCTCCAATAAAAATGATACAGTTAATCTTCTTTATTAACAGTGAGAGTAAATGCATGAGTCATGATGAATGCAATAAGTTCGAAGGGGAATATTTGAAATAACTACAAATAAGAATACAAATTGAAATTCACCACAACTGCTAAAAACAACAATTAAATACATATGAGAGCCATGAATTTAAAATACCTTGTTGAATGACTCAATTCTGACGAGCTCAGTAGATCTGTTATTATGGATTTGAAATCCCACTCTCAAATCTTGCCATCTAAATGCGCGCACATGGTATGATACTGAATTCTAACGCGCCCAGTAGTGGTTTGTTTTTTTTTTTTTTTGGAGGGTGGACCATATATGTCACTATAAATAGGTGTTGCTTATTTATCATTTCACAACATAATCATCATCAACAAAATCATATTAAGTAGAAGCATATAGAGCTGCTACAATATAATGGCGAGTAGCTTATCGACTTGCCGTAGGGATATTCGACCACCGATGACCGTTTTTAGCCCCAGCATGTGGGGTGATACTTTCTCTACGTTTTCTTTCGACGAACAGGTATTCATATTTACCTCTACATATTTTTTTACTAGAAGCAAATGTTTTTTACTATGCAACATGCTACATTGAATTAGTCGACGCGCCCTATCATGTATAGTCTATGTAGCACATAGACACGGGAACACGGACACGGGGAAACTCTGTTTTCGAAAAAGTTGGATACGTGATCGTGGGAAACGCGTAAATAATAAAAATATAGGGGTGCATATATAATTTCTAAAAAATATTATTATGTTTAATATCATTCCACAAATTACATCCGGGACATATAAATTTATTTTACTATGGAATTAACATCTACAAAAATATTAAAACACTACTAGAAGTGAAAAGGAGACATAATATTTAAGATTTTTTTAAGCGTATGCAATTCGGATTTTTTATTAAACTGAAATTTGGATTTATTTTGTGTAGAAACACGTTTCCAATTTTTCATTATTATCAGAAACGTCCCCAAAACTTTTAAATATTTATGGAAACAACCCCGAGACGTTTCCAACTGGTGTCGTGGAGTTTCGGTTTCCGAAACGTGGAAATGCGTGTGGGTTGAAGTTTCCGTGCATCATAGTGTATAGTTAAATAAATTAAAAACTATCGTTTCGATTTTACTAGGTACAAGAAAAGTATGAAAAGGCCATGGAAACATTAAAGCAAGAAGTAAGAAGCAAGTTGGTGGAAGCAACATCCGGCAAACTGCTTGTATTGGTTGACACAATCGAGCGTTTAGGGTTGTCTTATCATTTCGAGACGGAGATCGAAGAAAAGCTCGAGCAAATTTACAACGAGGATCAAGAATATGATGACTTGTTCACTACCGCACTTCGATTTCGTCTGTTGAGGCAACATCAGTATCAAGTTTCTTGCAGTATATCCTTTTCGTTTTTTATTTAATTTATCCGTCTAATTTGCAAATGGAAATCTCACTTAGATGATAGATTTAATTAATTATATATAATTCAAATAATATAAATCTAATATGTTGAATTTTATAACTGTTTTTTTGGTTAAATTACAACCAACCCTGAGGTATGGTCAAATGACAAAAACCCCCTCATGTTTGGATAATTACAATTACTCATCAACTATGAATCTTCTTACAAGTCCACCCTCATGGTGTCAAATTCAACAAAATCTTCTAGATTCCGTGGAATGTTCTCTAGTTTGTACTCGTTTTGTGCAGAAATGCAGTTTCTGATGCACCACAATCTGATATATACAAGCCCAAAAACACATCTTATGATCATCTTGCTTCAAAATGTGGAGTTTGGATGGGATAAAACGGGTACAAAATTGAGAATATTCCATATAATCTAGAATATTCCACTAAATTTGACATCGCAAGGGTGGACGTGTAAGAAAATTTATAGTTGATGGGGGTGGTTGTAATTACCCAAACATGAGGGGTTTTTTCATAATTTGACCATACCTGAGGGGGTTGGTTTTAATTTACCCTTTTTTCTTTGAAGACTTGGAGCTTAAAAAGATGCAATGGAGCGAAATATTTATCCAAATATAAACTCACTCAATGAAAAAAATATGAAAATATTAGTTACAAGTCTCGGTAAATTGAATCAATTAATATTTCGTACTAATTTTAAAATTCGATTTGGTTGACGCCATCGAAACAGGTGTGTTCGACAAATTCACGGACGAAGCCAATAAATTGAAAGAAATGCTTACTAGTGATGTTGAAGGTCTACTAAGCTTGTATGAAGCAGCTCATGTTCGAATCCGTGGAGAAGAAATCTTAGAAGAGGCCGTACCTTTTACGAAACATCATATGACTCGTCACATGTTGTCGTCCCAATCGTTGGAATCTCCACTTAAGGACAAAGTGAAGCGAGCTCTAGTGCACTCGCTTCATAGAGGTGTTCCGATTATCGAAGCACGCGTTTACATTTCCATCTACGAAAAAGATGATTCAAGGGATGACATTATTTTAAAACTAGCAAAATTGAATTTCAATTATTTGCAGAATATGTACAAGGAAGAGCTCTCCGAACTCTACAGGTAAGCAACATATATCCAAACTATTGTATTTTATGTTAGGGCCACCAGAAAAAATATGTTTTATTACAATTAGGGCCCCCCTAATATGACTTGTTTTAATAAACTTATATAAATAAATAAATAAAAATGCATATGCATCACTTAATATTTTAAAGAGAAGATAATATAGTAATTATTTCTTGTAATAAATATTTATACATAAACAAAAAGAAAAATACTTGTATATTAAAAGTAAAACAAGGGCCCCAATTTTAAATATGAGATCCTAGGTAATATATAATCTATGAGATGCTACCCTTGACAAATAACTATCCACTAAGCGCACATACACATAGATAAGTCGTGCATGATGTATTTTCACCGAGTGTAGCATCTACAAAACCGCCCTATATAGGCTTTAGCTATTCCTGTCTTCCTGAATAATTATTTTTGGTAAATTAATTAAGGTGGTGGAACAACTTTGACCTAAAGTCAAAATTGCCGTACGCAAGAGACAGATCGATAGAGTGCTATCTCTGGGGTGTCGCATTCCATTTTGAACCTCAGTACTCGTATGTTCGAAAAGCGGTTGCGAAAGCTGTGCAAATGGTTATTGTGATAGATGATACTTATGATAATTATGCTACACTCAATGAAGCTCAGCTTTTTACTGATGTTCTTGAAAGGTACCTATCTTGCCTTATGTACGAGAGCGTAGGTTTAGTACTCACTGCACTTATATAGTTGGCTGATAAATGTGAGTATATAATGATATATTTTGATTTATAATAATTCTTTCTAGGTGGGATATGAATGAAATTGGTCAACTTCCGGATTATATGAAGGCTGTTTTTAAATACATCATGAGTATATATGAAGATTACAAACGAGATGCAACGAAACAAGGAAAATCGTTTGCAATTCCTTCTTACAAAGAAGCAGTAAGGCCAAATCAATATTAACTGCTTAATATATATATATATATATATATATATATATATATATATATATATATATATATATATATATATATATATATATATATATATATATATATATATATATATATATATATATATATATGGGAAAATATATAGTTCTCATCCCTCAAATTTACAAAAATTCAATATTTGGTCCCTCATGTTTCAATAATTCAACACTTTTAGTTATTTTTGTCAATTTTTCGTCTGTAATAACGGAATCAAGCATGTTCCTATCGACGCCTCAACTGACGGACTAACGATAAATTGATGGAAATGACAAAAAATGTTAAATTATTGAAACATGAGGGACTAAATGTGTTTTTTGATGAACATGTTGACCAAATGTGAAATCAGTGCAAACTTGAGGGATGAAGACCGTAATTTTCCCCAAATTAAATATATATTTGGTGGATGATGCATGCGCAGGTGAAACAACTTGCTAGGGCTTTCAACATAGAGCAAAACTGGATTATGGAACGAAGAATGCCTCCGTTAGAAGAGTATCTGAAAAATTCAGTGATCACAAGTTGCATTTTTGTGGTGTTCACAGCTCATTTTCCGGGCATGAAATCTGTTACCCAAGAAACTATTGATTGGCTTCTCCGTAACCCTAAAATTGTAGTTTCGACTGCGATGATGGGTCGACTTATTGATGATTTGGGCAGCCATGATGTAAGATAGTATTATTTCAATATTTTTTTTGAAAATTTATGCATTAATTACATTTATGAATAACTTGATTTTAGTTTTGAGATTTGTCACCTAGTTTACATTTAAAAATAATTAAATATACGATGTTTAAGAGTTTATAAGCTCTTTTAAAGTGTTTGGTATATTTTTTTAAGAAAGATTCCTAAAAATTTAATAAATAAGCTGTAGAAGAGCAAATACGATTTTTTTTTTAAATACCTACACCCCATATTTTTATTTAAGATCTTATACAATGAGTAAAAAATAGCTTATAAGATCATCATACAAACACTTAAACAATTAATTATAAAAATAAGACATAATAACTGATCAGCACTTAGTACAACTTATCAGATGTAAGAGTTTATCATCATAAGAATAATTAAGTTGATAGCTCATTAATTATTACTTCAAGCGACATAACATTATTTATTGAAAATGAGCCTTTTGAATTCTGTCGATTTTGATTAAGGAAAATTATAGTTTTCAAGTACAATTTTTTTGTCTCCTAAAACTTTTTGGAATGAAATTGAAATTGAAATTGAAATTATATATAATATTTATGAAAAACTAATATTTGGTCTGGTTTTAGTTTAGTGAAAAAGTGTATCCATAAAAAAATAAATTCATGGAAAATCATTAGATTGCATGTTACTTGATCGATGATATCATATTTCATCTTAGTTAACATGCTATCGGTCGTGTGTCTGAATTTGTAGCGCGAGAACAAAGAGGGAAAATTGCCGACAGTGGTGGATTGCTACATGAAACACTATGGCATATCAAAGGATGAGGTCTTGTCTATGTTTAAGGTACTAGTGGAGGATGGATGGAAGGATATTAGTAAGGAATGGACGAATAAAACCGAAGGTTCGATACCCAAAGAAATAGTCGAGCAACTTTTGAACTATGCCCGGGCAGCCGAGGTCACTTACCGGAACAGTGAAGATGGAATTACAAATCCGGAAAAAAATTTGGCTCCACACATTGTTGCTTTATTTGTTGATCCAATTGTCATTTAATTTAATTATTTTTTCCCTAGCTCCATCGTATGCTCTCGTTACGTCATTGCGTTTTTGTACTATCTACCTAAATTTGTTTGTGTTTTCGGTCTTGGATTTTTCGGTTGGTTTGGTTTCTGATTGTTGAATAAATAAAGAGTATTGTGCGTCTGTAATGTTAGCTAATAATAATATATTTGACGATTTGGAGCTTAGAAAGGTGCAATGGAGTGAAATATTTATCCAAATATAAACTCATTGAATGAAAAAAAAAAACGAAAATATTAGCTACAAGTCTCGGTAAATTGAATCAATTAATATTTCGTACCAATTTTAAAATTCAATTTGGTTGACGCCATCGAAACATGTGTCTTCGACAAATTCACCGACAAAGCCAATAAATTGAATGAAATGCTTAGTAGTGATGTCGAAGGTCTACAAAGCTTGTACGAAGCAGCCCACGTTCGAATTCACGGAGAAGATGTCTTAGAAGAAGCCGTACCTTTTACAAACCATCATTTGACTCAATTATTAGAGTCTCCCCTCGAACACAAAGTGAAGTGAGCTCTTGAGCAATTGTGCACGCTTCACAGATCAAGGTGTTCCAATTATCGAAATACGCCGTTATTTTTCCTATCTATGGAAGAGAAGATTCACTAATTTGCACCTAAACTAGATTATGATGGAATGGGCTATCACAACTTATCACCTAATTATTGTCCAACCCTAGCTTGGTTGTAGAGAGGTCACGCTTCTTCCATAATTTAATAAGGGTCAATTTGATATACATTCTTAGTATGAAAAATAAATAGGGATATGTCCATCCCTAAAATTCTTTCTTTGAGATAACACCTAGCACCAAAAATTCCGAAATTACCCCTACAACCATACATGAATTTATAAATCAATTGAAGAATCAAATCCCAATAAACGCGCCCCTACTATCAAAACCTATCAAAATCGACGAATCAACTTCTCTCTGTAAATCACAAACTCATCTTCTCGCTACGGAGATTCACCGGAAAAACCCTTAACTGCTCAACCAAAACGAAGAAGGACTAGTCATCTTCGTTGACGGCAACCCAAACAACCACAACTGTAGTCAACTTCCGCTCATCAATTTCATATACCATCAACAATAGTTATCTTCCACTAATAGCGAAAAGTCACCGGAAAAACATAAGTTTATGGCTACATTACAATATACTTTGTTACCCCCCTCCGTTGGGACCTAAAATCCCCTTCAAATATTTTTTTACAGGCCGTAATCGGAAGGAAGAAATCGTACATAATGAAAACCTAGCAACAAGTTCTGATGAGGTTAATGTGACATATTTGTATAAATCCGGGGTCAATGTGCAATGTTGATAATATTAGAGTATAATGGATGTAATTGAAGAATTCATATTATGAGGGGTATTGCAGTGCAAATCTGATGGGGTTTAATGGTTCCTCCATGTATCACGCGTGTGATGAGATCTATCGAATAAATTTAGAGCTCTTTTTTTTTTCGGTTTCTCGAAAATTCTGCCTTCTCCAACATATTTAATAAGTGGTTTTTTATTTTAGCATAACTCCATTTAAAGAATAAATTCAAGCAATTTATACGGTTTGGTTCAGTAAATAACTAAATTACATAAATTTTATGTAAAAATATTTATAAGGGGTGGCTGTAATTACCCAAACAAGAGGGGTTTTTTCGCAATTGGGCCATACTTCAAGGGGGTGGCCGTAATTTGCCCCATATTTTAAGGTTTGTTTTTGAAATTCTATGATGTAGCAAACCAAGTACCATAAACTTTACAAGACGGACAAGCCTACTTGTGCTATGATTCTGAAAACCTCTGTTGGAATCGTGTATCTTCTCGAATGCGTCCTCGAGCCTTCTATGCCCTCTTACGCGGTCAAGGTAATTTGTAAGAGCTTCATTTTGATATCAAACGGAATGGCACATAATAACTTGTGGTATAATAAATGAATTGATTGTGTTTTTATTCCATTTAGGTACTTACGCAGCTGAACCAGGAACACGTTTCACTTTCTGACGACTTAGAGCGTGTTTGACTAAGTTTATACAATGTTAAAATGAGCTTACAAGATGTTTTAGAGCTTATAAGCTCTTCCAAAGTGTTTGGTAAATTTTAAAAGAAAATCTTAATATTTTTTTTAAATAAGTTGTTGGAGAGCAAATAAGATCTTTTTGAAAAAGTACCTCCACCCCACATTTTTATTTAAGATCTTATAATGAGTAACAATAAAAAATAAGTTCATTATCCAAATACTATAAATATTAATCTTAAAAATAAGATGTAAGAGCTTATCAGCTCTTAAAACATCTTATCAGACGTAAGAGCTTATCAGCTGTTAAAAATAAGCTTAGCCAAACACCCTCTTAGTGGAAAGAGCTAAAAAACCTTGGGAGATCCTAACTGGTCGTCATGAAATCGGAACTCCATCACCGTTGTTCCAAAAACTGGTATTCTATATTTGCCTTATCAATTTAAAAAAAAAATAATACTTTAAACATTTGATCCCGATAATTTGATATAATAATTTGCAGGAAGACGAGGAATTTGCTGGTAGTCAGTCAGATAGGAAGGACAGGAAGCTGAAAGTTGAAGTTGCTGCTGCAAATAAAGGTTTCGTTTTTTTCTTTTTTTTTCTTTTTTTTTTTTTGTCGTCTCTTTCTTTAACATATTGCGCAAAATATTCTTGTGATCCTTCTTGGCGCTATCCTAGATTTTGTTTAATGTTATGCTCGCTGCATCTTATGTTTATTCTTCTAAAGGTGGTAAATCTTCGAAGAAGGAGAGGTTGAAAAAATCTGCCCGAAAAACCCCAAGCATATAAACCTCGAAGGAATGCAAAGAAAGTGAGGAATAATTACATTTTTCGTCCTTATACTTTACCACTTATTCATTTTTCGTCCCTAAACAAGTTGGAGTGACATTATTCGTCCCTAAACATGCCATTTTTTAGCAGTTTCCGTCCTACCGTTAATTCTTGTTGTTACTTTGGATGGAAATCTGACGTGAACCTGAAAATCTTAATATATGCTGCTGACATGGACGATTAATCCACGTGGCCACTCACATGTATGCTGCTGTTGATATGCTTCGTGAAGCCAACTCATATTAACTCAAATTACCCATGCATTGGCACCAAACAAGACTCATCTTTAAACTTTGCTAGAGAGAACGAGCCACCATGCACATTCCATTTCAACTTTGCAAACGAGCCACCACTATGCAAGAGACCCATTCCCACCTAATTAAGAGGAAATTCGCAAAATTGAATGTGAACGATACAATTGTTGTATGAATAATATTTATTTTGACTTTGCATGAAATTTCCATATTTGAACTAAAAACATACAGTGAAATAACCTTTTGCAATGTGTGTGCATACACACACTTTAGAATTAATGAATATAGAAGACATGCAACTACATCTAATATTTTTTTTCTATTCAATATTATTAGACATGATTGAAGATTGCACCAATCAAAAACAAGTTTAAATAATATAGGATTAATATCTCCTACACCGTCCATGACAATTTTTTTTGTTTAAATGAGTAGTTAACGTCAATTGGGTTTTCGTCCAATATGGAGATAATGACTAATAAGGTTAGGCAATCTAAATTAAAGTTTACAAAATTGCAAATCGTGCAAATCCTCAATATGTAACAAAACAAAGAATTCTTGTTGAGTAGCTTAACATATAATAAATTTCATTCAAAAAATCCAAATATATTAATTAACATCTTCTCTTCGAAGAAAAACATCATTCAAAATATAAATTGCATTGCATCAGATTTTTGTCTGATGGAAAAAATTATCTTTTGGGGATTATTGAGGCTATTTACGAGTCCAAAGAGGTGTGATATTGAAGAAATTAACCATTTGGAAAAGAAGGCTTATCTTCTAAAGAAGATGCAATCTGAAATTGAAGAGAGGGGTTGACTCTTACGTATCATGTGCGAAGCACATGTTATTTTCCGTCCAAACTAACCAGCCAAATTGACGGAGGGACGGAAATAGCAGAAAAATGGCATGTTTAGGGATGAATAATGTCACTCCAACTTGTTTAATGACGAAAAACGAGTAAGTGGTAAAGTATAGGGACGAAAAGTGTAATTATCCCAAGAAAGTGACAAATGAGATAACACAAATTTGTACAGGGACGAAAATGAATCAAATTGGTTTCAAAATTGTTGGCGCCATATTTCCGACTATTGAGGATCGAGGAAATCCGCCAAGTTTTGGAATTAAAAGATTGGCAAAGATTTGTTTTCCATATTTATTTTGGAATTTATTAGAGTCCTATTCTTATAATACTTCTATTAGGACTTAGATTTATTTCCATGTATTTCATTCTAGTTAGGTATCTTTTGTACTTATCTAGAATAGAAGTAGAAATCAACTAGGATTCTATTACCTAGTTAAAAAGATTTCTTGGGGTTCAAGTTAGGTCTTAGGGCTTATTTTCGTGGCTATATAAGCCTCCAAGACATACAAGAACCGTGGGCATTATTTGGGAGAAAAACCTCTTCATAGCATCGAAGTTTTGCCAAGGCGTTCTGCGGAGCAGGACTGTGCCATCGTTGCACTGTGCCAACATATACAGATTTGTTGTATAGATCTCAAGGGAGATCAGCCGCGTTTTCTGAAGGGAGTTCAGGCTTGAAGAAAGTTCAAGGCACGCGGGTGGAGCTGCTGTTGGAAGAAACACGAAGTTCGAGTTGTGTACAAGAACGGCATATTACATAAAGAGGGAGTCTTTAGTGTTTTTAATAAGTCCTATTAATGTACACTGTAAATCTGAACTAGTGAAATCGTGTTTGCAGGTCCACGTGGATGTAGGGCACATTTGTGTCTGAACCACATTAATTCCTTGTGTTCATTTATTTGCTTTAAGTAGTTTATAACTGTGTTAACACAAGAATTATAGTTGTAACTGAATACTGTTTCCACAACTTAACTGTTACAACTTAGGTTAATTGATTCTATAGGCATATAAATCAACAATTGGCATCAAGAGCCTCTCACTAGATAAACATAGTGTGTGATTTTGGGAATTTGATTTATTTGCCATTTTCTTCCATAGGTACTATGAATGCTCATATGGAAGGCGGTTCCACGACTCGCCCACCACTGCTTACTGGAACCAATTACTCTTATTGGAAGACCAAGATGAAGATGTTCATCAAGTCAATGGATGAAGATGCATGGCGCACA